TTAAGAATTAAAATTAGTTTACTTAATATAATTTTTTATAAAGTTAAATATAAAAAAAATTTACCATTAAGTTTATACGTAATTTTAAAATAGTACCCCCTACCTTTAAAATAATGATTAAAAAAAAAGGTCACTATCTAATAACTTTTTACCTACCTAGTATAAAAATATATAATAAGGTGGCAATAATACCATCTGGTATTATTTTTGCATTATTTTTAAAATTTCTATAACAATACTGTTATAATATAAATTATAGATACTACCTAATTGTAGCAAATTAAATAAAATTGAATTAAAATAAAATTTTTCTATTTTTTTAAGAAAATTTAAAATTTTTTGGAAGATATTTTTAGGGTTAGGGTTTAGAGTTAGTTTTATTAATAAAAGAGTATAAGTAGGTTTTATAAGCTTTAAAGATGAGCAAGAAGGTCCCCAGTTTCATTTTAATCTAATTTCATTATGATCTGCATACATAGTTTTTTTTTTTTTAAGTGTTGTATAAATAATCATCGTGATCTAAGTCACTTTAAAAAAGAGACCGTGTATAGGAACTTTTGGGACACCTGGTATGGCAAAGATATAAAAAAAGATACTGTTTGGAGACTTACCAAACACTCTGTAGTATAAAGGGGTTGGTTATGTTAATCAAACCTTAGCATAGCAGAAGTTTGTTTTGATTGGCTAAAACAAGAGTAATTTTGATTGGTGACAATCTTTTTTTTTATACAGGCAATTGTAATTTTTAAAGTACTTTTATAAGTAAAAATTGTGCCATATGAAAAAAATTTTTTGTAATACATAACGTAACAACCGACTTGAATCGTTGATATTTTACCTTTGGCTTTATTGTTTTTTAACTTGGGATGCAGTAGGATGCAGTAGTTTCAAAAACTAGATAAGAAGTGAAGCTTTTGAAGAGTCGGAAGGTGTTTCGGCGACCTAAACAATTAGTAAGTGAAAGTTGAAGAATTTTGTCTCAACTTATTCTTCTTGCTTTCTATAAGTAAAAAATATTATGTATTTTTGGAACCAATATTCAAAACACTTTTTTTTAATATTATAAGCTTATTTAGGCTATGAGAATTCATAAATACAAAGTTTTATATAGCGGTGTTTAGAAATGTTCGTGTAAGTTAGATTGTGTCGCGAAACTTAAAGTATTTGTTGTTAAATAAGAATAATATTGTAAAATTGTGAAATGTGAATTAGTTATTATAAATCAAAAATTAATGTATTGTAAGACTACATTGCGCGCCTTTAGAAAGTCTTTTGAAAGTTTCGTGAGTAATAAAATTTCATGTGTTGTGCAAATTCTAATTTTTTTTTCAAGTTTCATGCGCATGGAAATTTTCAGAATTTCTTATTAGCTTTCGGAATTTATAACAATTTTGCTGGCATTATAAGTTTATACCAGCATTATATATGTAATATATAAAAAATCATGCGCATGATTCCATAATTTCATGCCGATACTTTATCCGGGAATGATCTACATTTTCCCGGGTATTTTAACAACCAATCAAAATAAACTTCCGCTATGCTTTGGAGATTAGGCCCAGACTACGTATAGTAAAAATTGATCCAGGAAAAATTTTACTTAGTAAACGGCTGTAATTTTGAGTAATTCCAGTCTATGTCGCTATTAGCCAATCAAAATCAAGACAAATTAGTGCGCAGCTGGTTAATTCTTGATACAATACGCCAAGAGAAGTGTTCTGGATGTGACACTAACAACTCGCCCCAAATTAATATCTTTGTAATGGTAAAACTTTCTTTCAAATTATGATTAATTAAACCAAAATTTTAAGTTTAATATATACTAATTAGAATTGCTTTTTTTGATTTTACATTTGAGATTCATTCATGTGTTTGTCGAACTTTTGTCAAATGATTCAACATGATTTATGTATCACTACGTACATATTTAGACACAAGCTTTTTTGGATCGGAGTTCTTGAGGCCGAACTTCCGACCAAAAGGTAACACAAACTTATTCTCGCCACAATATCGTATCATCTTAACGAATATTTATCAAGTGTAAAAAATGTTGCTAAAACAGAAAATTCTTTTCGAAAGGGTCTGATATTTATTGATAGTCATGATCTTTATGATTATTATTGTTATTCATTTTTAATACCTACCCATAAAAATCACCGAATAAAGTATCTTCAATAAGTGGCTACATAAGAAATATTTACAGACCATGGTTTTTTAAATATATTGTAATTAAGACTATTGTTTTAGTATCTTAATTCAGTTATTAGGATATGCAACGTAATTAATTTTACACTTTGGTTTTTCAGTTATCTCAACCAATGACTTAGTTATAGGATATTTTGGATTGATGTTTAGAAGTAAGAAATAACGTTTTTTCATCGGAATGGAATCTGGGTAAAAAATACTTGCAAATACAAATCTTTTATCCTTAGGCAAATTCCACTTTTCACCCGTAAAAATACTCTTTCCTTGTAAGTATGTCCTTTGTCTGCTTTTCCATTCATCCTTAGTTTGTCCAATCAAGTTTCTATCATTTTTTAAAATAACCGTGTAATTAAATTTAAATTTTAAGGGTGAGTCTGCAGAATTAAGTTTATAACATGCTTGCACTAAAGTAGTGTTTTTTGAACAAAAATGATATGAAATCATGTCTTCCGTTTTTCCAAGCTCATATGATTGATTGTCATCATAAAATAAAGTGTTGGTGCCAATCCAACAATGATTATCTCTAATAGGTATTTGAAGCTTAATGTCCGTATCTGCATTTTCCGTAGTGTCAATATGTTCTGTGTATTCTACATCAAGTTTTGAAAGTGGTTTAGTTGGGAATTTATCGTATCCAAATATCATCCAAGGTATAAAGAGTTTAGTTTTTGAAGAAATTTTGCGTGGACCAGTACGATAAATTACAAAACACGGGCTTTCTTGATGTTGATAATAAACGTAAATTCCATATGTATTATGAAAAGAATTTTTACTCGTCGCATTATAGACAGAAGCAAAAATCTTACAATCTTTAAATGTTGAAATTTCATCTGGTTTAGTTAGAGTTTCGGTCACGAGAGGGAATCTGAAATCATGACTCTTTGGTATAATAACAGGTAAGACTTCTGAATGAAGCACTCTCATACCAATAGTCTGCTTTACCTTTTCTTTTAACTTATCTGGCAATAATTCATAAAGTGATAATACATCATCATATTTGATAATTTTCCAATTGTCAAAGGATTTTGAATTGTCCAATTGGCGGTTCGAATTCTCCATATCATTATAATTATCAATAGGATATTTGTATTCCATTCCGAGTTTGATTTCTTGTGCCCTGCAATTATATTTAGAATTATTAGAATAATTATAATTTGTACAATAATAGAATTATATTCATAACATGTAATAACATTTTTACCAAAAAAACCCATATTCTTCACCGACAATATCCAAATTCCTCTTTTTTTCATCATTACTTTTACTTTCATCCAATGCTTCTTCAATTGCTCTGACATAGTCCTCATTAGGTGCCAAGTCTTTACGTGACAATCGAACAGATCCTAGTTCATAGCATATCTTTATGTATTCTTCCATCTCTCGATCGTGAACACGCTCAAACTTACTCTGAAGATTCACATTTATCATATGTGGATTTTTAATAGTGAATGCTGATTTATTTACCATTACATAAGTATTATCGCTATTATCGCGAGTTTTACGTCCTTTATTTAGTTGAAGTTTTTTCGAAATCTCCAAAAAATTTGGTTTTGATGGATCTACTGCTACATATAAGTTGTAATGATCTGTCTTTGGAATTAAGATGTCTTGGAGAGTATAGTTATTTTCATCGTCTTGTGATATTCTGTACTTATTGTCATTCCAAAAATGAGAATTTTGTTTACTCATTAATATCTTATCATTCAAAGACAATTTTTTTCGAGTATCTGTTAGAGATGCCTGTTTATCCAATCCACTCAAAATATTTGACCTTCGTTCAATTCCATCATTATCAACGATGACTACCCTTATGTTTTGCGTATCTAAAGGAATTATAGGGTTTTCAATAACAGATAATATTTCATAAATCAACATTTTTACAGCATTGTGGACTAGATTTGAAAACTTGTGTATTTTATATCCCAATACTCATAGATAGATAATCAAATGATGTAAACAATAAATAAACATATATGTTATTTCCGTTTTATTGTTTCTTTGCTTACCGGATATTTCAAACGAGTATCCTTACTCGTACCTGTGTTACACTGGGCGTCAACCGTTAAAGATGTGTGACCACAAGTACAGAAGTACTGTAAATCATTGACAAAAACATAATGAAATCTACAAAAGGGTGTGTTCAGAAAATTTATTTTTTTATCTTTACACTATAAGTAATTTCGAAAACTTTAAATTTGTTAAGCCGTTTGACTCTATACGGCACGGTTATGATGTCTCGTACCCAAAATATGCCTATCGGATTTAAATATTATTTGCTTCACACTGCTCCTTTAAGCACCAATAATTTGGTTACGTTTATTACTGTTTATTTCCTGGTTATTATAAATTTTTCGATATACTGTATTATATTATTAAAGTCTAATTGGACTTCCAGATCAATCTTTGAAAATTCTCCATCACTGAAAATTATTTACAATAAAAATATATAGTATCCCGCTTGTCGTATGTACTACTTATTGATATGCGCATATTTAGCTATTTTACGATCAAGTGATTGAAGTTATAATTATGATGGTAAACAATTCATCAATGAACGAATTTATATAGAAAATATTTGATACACAATTCACAATCGAAGAAACAAAATCTCATCAAGTGATAATAAATGCATAATCATCGATAGGTCACATTTTTTATAATAATAATATATTTATTACTCATATAACAGACTTCTCTTCAAATTCTTTTTGAGCTTTCAAAGTGAAATCGTAACTTCATGCACATAACATAAATATGCCAGCCCAAACATCATTATATGAATACGTGGATAAAAGGGTTCGCAGTAATAAAATAACCCTAATAAAGTATGACGAGTTAAAACAAACGGGCGGAGATGATTCCACTATAATGAAATGGAGTAGTAAACTAATAAAAGTAAAAAGGTTGAAAAATATTAACAAATGTAATGATAAAGATGTTAAGCGATTAACGCAAGAGGTTGGTATTTTTATTTAGTGGTATGGCCACGTGCATAATTTGGGATCAGTATTATATCGCCGACAGTCACTTCATGGACACCACAATTATTCATCGACAAGTTCATTTTACCGACAGTTTATTTCACCTAAGCTCATTTCACCGACAAGTTTTTTTTTTATAAATTACACTAACTTTACAGCTGTTTTCATAAAT